ACTGAAATGCTCTTCAAACCAAACTTATGAAATTTCTTCGAAAATACTAACTTCCACAATAGGCGCCAAAACGCTCTCGGGTTATCCAAAACCCGAACCGGGCATACGCCCAAGTCCGAAATCATCATACGAACCTGCTGGAACCTTCAGATCCTGATTCCGAGGTCGTTTACTCAAAAATCAATTCCTAGTTCATTCTTTCAACTTCAAGCTTCTCAAATGAGAATTCTCTTTCTAAATCAACTCTGAACATCCCGGAACTTAATTCCGACCACGTGTCCAAGTCATAATACCTGAAATGAAGTTGTTCATGGCCTCTGAATGCTGAACGGAGCGCTAGGACTCAAAACGACCGGTCGGGTCGTTACAACCATTGTAGCTAAGCCTGAGTTCCCTGCGGGATTCGACTTCGGACTTGTAAACCGGATTATATTTGCAACGACCGCTTAGTCCTTTTTATGAGGCATAGTTGGGCGTGATCATTCGCGAAGAGCAGTGCCCGTTAGGATTACGAGATCACGAGAGGCTACACGCGTTCGCGATGGTCTAGACCCCTGACCTCTGCATTCGCGAGACAAAACCCACGTTCACTTAGTGTAACCTAAAGTCCCCTACCCAGCCTAGCTAACGCTACCCGTTCGTGTGTTAAGGGTCACGTTCGCATAGAAAAACCCCCTAATGCTCCGCGTTCGCGACCATGGTCTCGTGTTCGCGTACTGTAAAATTCTCCCACAACCCGGATCCCTTTCGCGATCGCGAAGTAAAACACACCTGAAAACCAGCTGCAACTAAAACACCATATTTTCTAAGATCAATTCACCCCGTAGCCTATCCAAAACTCATCCGAGCCCTCGGGGCTCCAAACAAAACATGCACACAAGTCTTAAAAAATCATACAAACTTGCTTGCACGATCAAATCGCCAAAGTAACACCTAGAACTACGAATTAAATACCAAATCAGATGAAATTTTCAAGAAAATTTTAAAACTTCTATTTTCACAACCGAACGTCCGAATCACGTCAAACTAACTTCGTTTCTCACCAAATTTCACAAACAAGCCATAAATATAGTAATTGACCTGTACCAGGCTTCGGTATCAAAATACGGACCAGGTATCAACAAGAAAAAACATCAGTCAATTCTTAAAATCATTAAACTTTCAAACTTTTAATTTTTCATCAAAAATCCATATCTCTAGTTAGGGACGTCGTAATTCGATTTCGGGCACACGCCCAGGCCCCAAATTATGATACGGACCCACCGGGACCGTCAAAACACAGATCTAGGTCTATTTTTCAAAACGTTGACTAAGTCAACTCAAATTAATTTTTCAAGTAAAAATTCTTATTCTTTTCAGTTTTAAACATATAAGCCTTCCGAAAGAACATCCGGACCATGCATGCAAATCATGAAAGGCTATAATGAGATACTTAAGTCTTCGAAACATAGAATTAGGCTTTAAAATATGAGATAACCTATTGGGTCATCACATTCTCCACCTCTAAAATAATTGTTCATCCTCGAACGGGCATAGAAAATTACCTGGGTTGGTGAAAGGTGTGGATATCTACTGATATGCCGTAGAATTTTGGTACATTTGATACCAATTACTTAGATTTTAGCTCGTATTTTAATGCATTTTTAGTTAATTCCTATCATGTTTGGTTGTTTTGTAGTGCATGAGACCCAAAACCACGCAAAAGAAGTCAAAAAGTCACAAAAGGATAGAAATGCCGCAAGTATGTGACCGCATAAGTCAAATAGGAACCGCAGAAGTCAAATGGGGACCGCAAGCTGAAGCAGAATTGTTGGCCAAATGAAGAGAAGAATATGCGGCCCATTATGCGATTGCATAATGCTTTTACGAGCCACATAATGACCGCAAAATTTCGACTGAAGAAGCTGCTCAACACATCTGCGATGGCAAAATGCGGTCGCATAACAGATATGCGGACTGCATAATTCATCTGCGAAGGACTCCTGGGACTAGTGATCTACAAATCTGCGACGAAAATGAAGATTATGCGGACCGCATACATGGTCTGCGACTATTATGCGGTCGCAGAAGTCGTCTGTAGGGCAATTTTGTCCGATTCTGACCACGACTTTTGGTCCACTATAAACAGAATAACTAGGGTTTTTGTGGGTCAATAAGAAATGAATAAATATCAATCAACCATTATATATATATATATATATATATATATATATATATATATATATATATATATATATATATATTGGTTGATTGATATTTATTCATTTCTTATGCTTTATTTATGGTTGGTGGTTGCAAACATTAACATATTCTATCTTATCCTTTCTTGGAAAAGTGGGTAAGGGTTTGGTAGAAATGAATATCAAGAACTCAAGACTTTAAATCTTGTTTAATAGAATCACTTGGGAATAAGTGGGTTCTACTTGGCATAAATTGGTTGTTCTTAATTGCAACTCTTTTATATTTGGGAAAATTATAAAGAGAAAATACTACCCAACCATTGGGAAATATTGGGTAGTCATTTAGAAACCATTTGCATATCAAAGGACCTTCAATTAGAAATATATCATATTAACAATGGTAGCATTACATTTCATTGACGGGGACACAACCTTGGTTTCCTTTATCAAATTCTTCACATTGTCATAACAACATTAGTTATCTTATTATATCACAACTATATCATTCTGTTGTTAGGCTAAAGGAATAGAATTACATCCTAAGTCAAGTTTCACACTACTCAAGTAACCTTTTCACACCTATTCCCTGTGGGATTTGACCCCAACCTTAATGGGTTATTATATTTGACACCGACCGCCTTACACTATTTAATTAATGTGTAATTTGAGCGTATCAAATTTTGGCGATGTTTCTAGGGAATACAATTTTGAAATTACTAATTAGTGTGTGCTTTACTTTAAGTCTTCTTCTATTCCATTACACTTTGCTTTTTTTGCTTGGTGTTGATAGGAAAACATGGCCGAATATGAAGAAGAGGTAAATCCTTTTGCGGATATAGATGAGTACATTGAGGATACAAATGCTATTGTACCTCCAAGAGTTGACGTTGCCACTTTCAAGGTGGAACACAGTATAATCTTAATGCTCAAAGCAGAGAGGTTTTTCAGAAATTTCACCAATGATAATCCGACACAACATCTCAAAAACTTCTTGGGTGTTGTGCGATGCACAAGCAGAACAACATCTCAGATGATGCCCTACGATTGAGGGTATTCAAGTACTCACTGACTAATGAGGCGACAAAATGGATTCAAATTTACCACCAAATTCCATCCATTCTTGGTCTGAACTTGTCCGAGCATTCCTATCTAAATGGTTCCCGCGAAGCAAGAAATCTGAGCTCCGGGATAAAATTTTCTTTTTCAAGCAACTACTGGGAGAACATCTACATGAGGCATGGGATCGATTCAAGTTATATTTGGTGAGTTCGCCGAATCATGGTTTTCCGGATTCTATCTTGTTGGAGAAATTCTACATGGGTTTGGATGCTATGAACCAATCTATAGCCAAGAATGCAACTGATGGATCTTTTATGGATAAAACATTTGCAAGGATCACAAAAATCCTTGAAAAAATTACAAAACATAACCAAGCTTCGCACTCAGAGGACACCACGGGTGGAATTGCATATGGTACTCCTTCCTTGACAAACATGATTAAGGAGAATCAAGAAAGAGACCAAGTAATTTCTGGGCTTGCCACAAACGTCAATGTATTGACAAAGATGTTCACTGAAAGCCAAACAAAAAAGGTGAATGTGGTGGAAGATGTTAAACCAACATCAAATGAAGATTATGAGGAAGAAAATTATGTCAACAACTCTCAAGAAGGCTATCAAAGGCAACAGAACCAAGGTTCAGGACAACAAAACCAATGGAGGCCTAACCCACAAGGGCAAGGTAACCAACAGTGATGAAATGACCAAGGTAGTTCAAGGGAATTGGAGTAACAACAATAAAAACTTTTCAAATCGGAGTTCAAACCCTTATGTTCCACCCAAAGGGCAATATTCCGACTCTCTCCACTGGAAGAAAGGGTCTTCAAGTGATTCCATGTTAGAAAATATGCTTGAGCTAGTATTGCAAAATCAAGACAGGTCCGACACTTCAATGAGGAATATGACCGAGCTTGTTGGTTCTCATACTGCATCTATTCAAAAGTTTGAGAAGCAAATGAGAGATCTCTCAAGAGAGAAAAATCCAAATCAAAAGGGCACACTCCCAAGTGACAAGATTGCAAACCCAAAAGGTAGTCGGAGTGGTCCAACTTCTCATTGCATGGCAATTACAACTCGGAGTGGGGAAGTACTTCAAGGAGAGAATGAACAAGTGGTCGATGTGGAAGATTCCAAACAAGAAGTTGAGGTACAAGTTGAAATGTCAATTGTTGTTGAAGCTAAAAAGGTCCAGGAAGAGTTGAAACTTCAGAAGTGAACCGGGAAGAGGTTAGGGAAAAGGTGAAAGAGACTCCAAAAACTCTAGCACCAATTTCTAGACCTCCTCCCCCTTTCCGTAAAAGACTTTCTAGGAAGGTTGATGATAGTAAACTCAAGAAGTTCTATGACATTCTCATGCAATTATCGGTAAATATTCCATTTGTGTAATCATTTGAAGAGATGTCGGGGTTTCCTAAGTATTTGAAAGACTTGATCACCTACAAGAAAACCACCAAGAATGAAGTGGTGAATTTGACTCACCGGATTAGTTCCATCATTGCAATAACCACTGTTCAAAAGAAAGAAGAACCGAGAGCTTTTACCATTCCATGCACTATTGGGGTGAGAAATTTTTCAAGAGCTCTTTGTGATAATGGGGCTAGCATCAATTTAATACCTCTTGCTATTTACAAGCAAGCGGGGTTAGGTATGTCGAGGCCTACAAGTATGAGGTTGCAAATGGCCGATCGTTCAATAAAGAGACCGGTGGGAATTGTTGATGATGTGCTTGTGAAAGTGGGAAAGTTCCTCCTCCCCGCATTGCATGGAAATTACAACTCGGAGTGCGGAAGTACTTCAAGGAGAGAATGAACAAGTGGTTGACGTGGAAGATTTCGAACAAGAAGTTGAGGCACAAGTTGAAGTGTCAATTGTTGTGGAAGCTAAAAAGGTTCACGAAGAGTTGAACCTTCAAGAAGTGAACCGGGAAGAGGTTAAGGAAAAGGTGAAAGAGACTCCAAAAACTCTAGCACCAATTCCTAGACCTCCTCCCCCTTTCCCTAAAAGACTTTCTAGGAAGGTTGATGATAGTAAACTCGGGAAGTTCTATGACATTCTCAAGCAATTATCGGTAAATATTCCATTTGTGGAATAATTTCAAGAGATGCCGAGTTTTGCTAAGTATTTGAAAGACCCGATCACCTAGAAGAAAACCACCAAGAATGAAGTGGTGAATTTGACTCACCGGGTTAGTTCCATCATTGCAATAACCATTGTTCAAAAGAATGAAGAACCTAGAGCTTTTACCATTCCATGCACTATTGGGGCGAGCGATTTTGCAAGATCTCCTTGTGATAATGAGGCTAGCATCAATTTAATGCCTCTTGCTATTTACAAGCAAGCGGGGTTAGGTATGCCGAGGCCTACAAGTATGAGGTTTCAAATGGCCGATCGTTCAATAAAGAGACCGGTGGGAATTGTTGATGATGTGCTTGTGAAAGTGGGAAAGTTCCTCCTCCCCGCCGACTTTGTGATCCTTGATTGTGCTGTTGACAAGGAGATCCACATCATCTTTGGGAGACCATTTCTTGCTACCGGAAGAGCACTAATAGATTCAAAACGAAATGAGATTAAGTTCCGAGTTAATGACGAAGAGGTTACCTTCCAAGCAAGCAAGGGTATGAAGTTTCCACATGCTTATGAAAGCATCTCCTTCATTGATGTTGTTGATGAGGTAGAAGATGCATTTTAGATGAAGATGGAAGAACAATGCCCTGGTGAGGCGTTGGCAGCTATTTTAGTGAATTTTGATGGTGAATATATTGTGGAGTACATAGAATCGGTGAAAATGCATTAGAAGGACTTGGGTCCTACACTTATGGTCCAAAGAAACATTCTCTTGACTTAGAGAATAAAGTCACTCCTCCCGCCAAACGTTCAATTATTGAGCCGCCGCAACTTGAGCTCAAACCACTTCCACCGCACATGAGGTATAAATACTTGGCTCTAATGACACTCTACCGGTAATCGTTTCTTCTTTATTGAATGATGTGCAGGTAGAACAATTGTTGAATGTCTTGAGGGAGCATAGGCAAGCTATTGGCTGGACAATAGCGGACATCCGAGGGATTCCCGCCGGAATTTGTGAACACAAGATACAATTGGAGAAGGAGAGCAAATCAAGTGTGGAACATCAAAGAAGGTTAAATACTTCCATGAAAGAGGTAGTAAATAAATAAAAAATCAAGTGGTTAGCTCGGGGTAGTCTACCCATTGCCGATAGTTCTTGGGTGAGTCCGGTGCAATGTGTGCCGAAGAAAGGAGGCATGACCGTGATTGAAAATGACAAAAATGAGATCGTCCCAACGAGAGCAGTGACCGGATGGAGAGTTTGCATAGAGTAGCAGAAGCTAAATAATGCTACGTGCAATGACCATTTCCCTATGCCATTTATTGATCAAATGCTTGATCGGCTAGAGGGAAGGTCAATCTATTGCTTCTTGGTGGATATTCCGGATAAAACCAAATCAATATTTCCTTGGAATATCAAGAGAAGACGACATTCACATGACCATATGGGACTTTTGCTTTTAGCCGTATGCCATTTGGGCTATGTGTAAGGCCCCGTGAAAACTTTTACTCAAAACCCGAGAGCTCGTAATGCCAAGTTAGGAATACAAGTTTGAAATTTATAAGATTCTTCGCAGCGAGCATGCTCGCCGCGGTTTGGACCCTTTGGACTGATCTACGCATTAAAAAGTCAAGGAATAATGTTTTCTAAGAAAAGTGCGATTCTGCGATCGAGTATGCGGTCGCATAACAGCTATGCGGACCGCATAGTCGCCGCAGAGTGAAACAGTGTGTTGGTCAATTTGAGGTCAACTATGCGGCCAATTATGTGATTGCATAATCGATATATGGGCCGCATAGTCATCGCATAATCCCCTTGGGATTTTGTAAGGGGCAGTTCTGCGGTGCATTATGCGGACCGCATTTCTGCCGCATACCCAGATAGTGTGTTCGGTTTTGGGGAGTATTTTTGCGGTCCATTCTGCGGGCCGCATGTCAACTTCGCGATCGCAGATGCGATCGCAGATCCGAGTCGGGATCCAATTTTCTAATATTTAAAACCCGACCCCATCCCATTAAAAACACCCCATTAGACCATTTTTCTATTATTTCCAGCATATANTCAAGAACTCAAAGGAGGTTTGCAAGATTTCTTCCAAAAGGTAAATCCTACACCCTTAGACTTACATATAGGGATATATTATGGGAATATGAGTATGAATTAAGTATTGGAACTCTTAGTGTGGTGATTGGAAGCCATAAGTTCCCTATATAAATACATAATTATTGTAGAGATTGAAAGGTGATTATTTGATAGGATTTGTTGGTTGGGTGTGAATGGATGGTCATACATATGTTGTTGGAAGTTATAAATTGGTTAGTAAAGATGGTGGAATAAATTGTTGGTTAATGGTGATAGTTGGATGAACTAATACTATGGCTATGAGATGTAAAGATCTATACCTACAAGGTGTTTGATAATATGCCTAAATGGCTTAAGTTATGGAATTTGTTACTACTATTGGTCCCATTGAATGTTGTATTGTAGATTGAAGTTGCTTATGTGTATTGGATCATTGTAGTAACATTAAGGGGCAAATTTGAGGTATGTATGGCTAAAACCCCGTCTTTTAGAAATTGAGCTCCATTGGTGCTTGTGTAAATGCGGTAAGGCTAAAGTTTGGGTTCTTGCATTGATTGTTATTTTACATGAATTGGTGTTGTAACCTTATGTGCATGAAAGATATGTCTCAACATGATCAATGTGCTATCTTGATAACTTAAAAGGGGCAAAAGATATGAATTAAGTATTGAAATGCTTAGACCTTAAATTTAGATTGAAGTTGCATTGTTGTGCCATCTACGTGAAGTCTTATCTATGCTAACAATTTAAATTGCTCTTGTGTACACCTACTGTCCTAAATGGCAAAGCTAATATTGAAATTGGGAACGATGTAAAATGCAGCCTAGTGCCAAGAATGATGTGATAAGTTGTGGCTCCAAGTGCCTATGAAATGATATATGTGAAACGAAATGATTAATGAGAATGGAACAACGCCTTGGTAAGGCGGCCTAGCCGATCGGGCCGAGATCGAACTCCGCTCAAGATAGCGGTGGTATTGTGAATGAATTCCGGAAAAAGGGAAAATGAGATTGTGGTTGAAGTATATGTCTCAAATGAGACAACCTAGCCGATCGGGTCGAGATCGGACTCCGCTCAAGATAGCGGTGGTATTGTGAACAAATGATGAATAGTGTGAAATGCCCCAAACTAAAGGCTATGGAAACATGATGTAAAATTGTATGATTCTTTATTATTGGTAATGTTATGCTCGTTTAAAGCTTTTGAGTTATACTTGTGATTTCCTTATTTTTGTATGAAAGTTCTTTATAACTAGATGGTGTTTAGTTATACATACTAGTGCTATTCGATGGTACTAACGTCCCTTTTGCCGGGGGCGCTACGTCTTTAAATGGATGTAGGTGTTTCTATAGCAGACAGTGTTGGTTGCTGCTAGTGCCGCATCATCCTTTCAGCTGACTTGGTGAGCCCCATTTCGTTTCGGGGTCCTGTTTCATCTGTTCATCATCTACTTTATATTTGAGGTATAGCCGGAGCCTTGTTACCGGTATTTCCATATTACATTACTCTTCAATTAGGTATAGAGGCTCCGTAGACGGGTTGCGGGTAGTGTCGGGTATTGGAATTAAAGTAGAAATATTGATGTTTGGCAAAGATTTATAAAACTTGTAATATTTTGATAATTATGATTTAAGCTGCTAATGGAAATGAAAGGGAAGTTGTTAATGAAATACTTACTACGTATGATTAATAGAGTCCATCTCCTATTTATTCATGAATTAGTTTGGGTAGAATGAGACCTAACAGGCTTGCTCAGTCGGGTTTACTCGGTTGAGCGTCGTTCGTGCTCCTTGGTTTTTGGGGCGTGACAATATCAAGGTGATCAAAAGAGGTAAAGGTCGAGACCATAAAATGTTACATCGGCTAACATAAGGTACCTATGAAGATTAGGTCAGTAGCAACGATGTCCCTTTTGAACTCGAGAATAAGTAAGGAAGACACACTTGAGAGCACGGGGAGCTAACTTATCTTTTCCGGGAGCTACTATTAACGAACCATGTGCTCCCAAACACACGAGAGGGAAGAAAGTATAAGGATAACTGAGGAAACAATACGGATTATGGAATCTGTCTATGGATGGAAGATGAAGGCATCCGTTAATCAGATAACAATCAGTGAGAACTGCATCGCCCCAAAAAATGCAGCGGAACATGAGATTTAATTAGAAGTGTGCGAGTAGTCTCAATTAGATGTCTATTCTTTCTCTCTGCTACCCCGTTCTGCTGAGGGGTATACGGATAAGAAGTCTGATTAATAATTCTTTAAGAAGTCATAGACTGCTGAAATCGAGAAGATTTGTATTCTAAGGCATTATCACTGCGTAAGATGCACATAGAGACGCCAAACCGATTTTTACTTCAGCACAAAAACTTTGTAATATAGAAAATAACTCAGAACAATCTTTCATCAGGAAAATCCAAGTACATCTTAGTGATCATCAATGGAACTAACAAAATAACGAAATCCTAAGGTTGAAATGACTCTACTAGGACCCCATATATCAGAATGAACTAAAGAAAAAACAGACTTTGCACAACTCTCAACATTACACAAAAAGGTGGCTCGGGTATGTTTCCCAAGTTGACACGACTCATAATCTAATATAGAAAAACTCGATAAACTAGGCACCATCTTTTGAAGCTTGGATAACCTTGGATGTCCTAAACGTCCCGCGGATTAGGTCTGGAGGATCTATAACTAGATATGTGGAAGGATTGAGTGAGTCAAGGTAGTAAAGGCCTTGTGATTCACGCCATGTGCCAATCGTCTGTTTTGTACTGCCATCCTACATAACAAAAGAGTCATCAATAAAATATATACCACAATGGAGGACACGAGTCAACCGACTAACAGATGCAAGAATAAAAGGACAACCAGGGACATGAAGGCCAAAATCTAAATTGACGGAGGATAAGGGATTAGCTTTTCCAACTCCTTTTGCTTTTGTTTGGATTCCATTGAGTAAAATAACATTGGGAAGAGACTGTGAATAAAAAATATTTGACAAAAGTGACCTATTACGAGAAATATAATTAGAGGCTCCTGAGTCCATGACCCACGGTCCAAGTGTAGTAGACTGGGAAACACAAGCAAAGGAATTACCAGCAACAAAAGTATCAATCTGAGCAATAATGGCTACTTGTGGAGATGTTTGCTTACTTGCTCGATACTAAATAAACTCATTATATTCCCGTTCAGATAAAGAAAACCTCTGTTTACCTGCAGTTTCTATTTGGGAAACATGAGCATTTTTAGATGCTCAACCATGCAAAAAGGAACACACCTCATGAGTTTATCCAAGCCTATTACAATAAGAACACTTGGGTCAAGACCTTCCAAAACGACCTCCTCCTCGTCTATTCTCCATAGTCTGAGATGCCCGATTTTTCACCGTCTGGGAGGCGAGAACATAAGAGTCAGATGTCTGTGATGAGATCACTATGTGACTGGGCACTGCAACAAGGCGAAGTCCCTGTGCACTAAGCTCCTGCTATGTGCGGGGTCCGGGGAAGGGCCGGACCACAAGGGTCTATTATACGCAGTCTTACCTTGTATTTCTACAAGAGGTTATTTTCACAGCTTGAACCGTTGGGACAATCGGACTAACCAAGATCTGGTCACGTACTGAATCAAGGTCATTAGGAAGTCCACTGAGCGTAATAACTAGAAACATCTTTTGTTTTTTATTTTCAACACTAGCAGAAACTGGCATCAGCTTCTCAAATTCCTCCATGACTGCTTGTACTTGTCCCAGTAAGTAGACATATCCAATTCATGTTTCTTTAAATTTGTCATCCGTGATATCACATCATAGAAACAAGATATGTCATCAGTGTGTAAACTACGAGCATTTTCCCAAACTAAATGACATGCCTGGAATGGACGAAACAAAGGCAACAATTTGGAATCAATAGATCGCCACAAGATAGTACATAACTGGGCATTGATCTTTTCCCACTGTGCCTTGGCCTTTTCATCTCCCTCACTAGCCTTTTTGGTGAAGTGATCTTGAATACCTTGAACTTTACACCACAACTCGATAGACGAAGCCCAAGATAAATACTTTGAACTCCCAAGTAGGGGTTCAGAAGTAATCAAAAAGGTTGAATTTCTAACTCCACTATTTTAAAGCCAAAAGAATCTAAATTGAGAGACAATATTGAATTGAAGTGATATCTAATCAACCAAATCAATAACCAGCTTCAATTAGTCAGAAAAATAACCAAAAAATTCCAGAACCCTTTTCCTACCTGAAAAAAAAAGGACTGTAGTTGCTGGAAAAGTTCCAAAGTGATCGGAATAAAAAGAAAATAGTATGGGTAGACTTGATTGATGGACGATTACACTGTTCCAAAGAAATATTTATTTAAAAAAGTGGCCGGAAAAGGTTCCACACGCCGGTGCGTGTAGTAGATCTTGCCGGAAAATCTGACCTCCGAACGGCGTGAGATGTCGGCTGCGGGAGATTTTTGTTGGGGTTTGGTCGCCGGGGGTTGGGGGAACTTGTGGGTGTGTTGGTTTTTGCACAACACTATTAAAAATTGATTTGCTGTAAAATCTACCCTAGGAAGTTGATGGAAATCGACGCACGACGATTGTCTGACTTTCCCGGATATGTCTCACTCATGCTCTGATACCATGTGGGAAATAATACACGAGAAATTATACTATTGACCTATTAACAATGATACAATTAGCCCTATAAATAATACATATCCTACTACATATGAGAATATGACTATTTACACATAACTATCTTACAAGGACTAAACACATTGAAATTGACTGTCACTTTGTCAGAGAAAAGATACTCACAGGAGATATTGTTACAAAGTTTGTGAAGTAGAATGATCAGCTTGCAGGTATTTTCACCAAGTCCCTTGCTGGTCCTCATATTAGTTCTATTTGTAACAAGCTCGGTATATATAATTTATATGCACCAGTTTAAGGGAGTGCTAGATAGTTAGCAGAAAACTAGTTATATAGTACTATGTAAACATTAGATATAAATAGGGCTATTGTAGGAACACTTAAGACATCAATAATATAATTTTTTCATTATTTCTCACAAGTACCTTCCATCAAAGGCTTCTCCACTTGCATGGATAATTTTTTAGTTGTGGGTGGAGTTATGTCGTTTTACTATAAAACGGGTCATGCACTGAGAGTTACTACTGTCAAAGCAGCTAACTCGTCTAGGCTCATCATAATGCAGGCTTTAAAACTTTTAGGATAGTGACATTTACCTTAAGGGGAATCGTGTGGTTCTTGTGAAGGATGTACGGATATTCTGTGGGATGATTCAGCCATAAATTCCTTGTTTCCTATAAAACCGCATAAATCAAGTTGTTAGGACCTTCGAACGGTATACTAACTGGGGAAAGAATAAAAGAAATCTACATCAACAGGGAGTATTTAACAAATACTATTGGGGATAGCACTGCACATATGGTGTCAGAAGGCCTAGGAGCAGTTTGATAAGATGTAGTTCCATCGGTCCTTGCTATGCCCCCTCTTCATTTCAAGTTACTGTTATTTCTTGCCTTGCTGGTTTACTTCAGTTTAATGATTTTTTGACTATAAATAATTCTTAATTGTCTCAGGTCCGCGGTCATGCATATGGGATGAGAAGTCTTCCTCACAGTGCATCTATAACAACAGTAGACTGGCATCCGACGTCGCCCATCTTCTTGACTGGATCTGCAGATTACTCGGTTCGGGTTACATCTATGGCATGACAGCTTCTGGTTTCTCTGGTTCGTTGTTGTTTCGGATAGTCCGATGAATTGAAAATGTAAAATTTATTTTGATATCCAGTGTGTCTAGGTGGACTTTGAAAGCTATCTGTCCAATTTTAAGTTTTAATTACAACCATTAGTCAAAGGCATCATTGCAAGCAACAATAGAATACAAAGGTGCTATCTTGGTATAAATGAGGCTTACAGAAATATTAACAGGAATAAAGGACACAGAAGAAGAGAGGTCTTGCTTCATGAACTCTTTGGGACCTTACGATGCCGCAAAAATCCTTCAGGCGTCATAGTTTAATTTTGTGGAGATTCTGCAATAGTGGATCAAATGATTTTGCTTTATCCAATCAGTATGTGTTAGCTTTGAACTATCGGTTGCATCGACGAGGGAATAGCTTTATGTAACTAAATATATTGAGAATAATTTTAGATTAATTTGCTTATTCTATGTGTTTATTAAGTTAGTTTCATCATAGTCAGTGTTTTGATTGTCATGAAAACAAATAAACTTTTGGAGCGTTGTCTATTGCCTCAAGATAAGTGATTAATTAACTTATTTAGATAGCTAAAAGGGGAAATTACGCTCCTTGTCACTTGGCCTAACAGTCCATCAAAAAATGGTTCACGTTTGAAGCTCTTACCTGATATGGCCCAGGTTGTACATAATCTGAAAGTTATTTTTCACCAGTTAGCTCACCCTATTTTTTTTCTTTTCTTCGTTCTTCTTCTTCTTCTTGTTTCACGACTTTGCACCCCAAAATTTCTCTACCATTACATATATTCTTCAATTCTCCTTCCAGATTCAAAGTTTACAATCACTATTAAGATGAGAAGAAAAAATATCACTTAACAGAATTATTATTTTTGGAGTCACCGTTAAAGGTCATTTGAAGCTTCAATTTCAGAAATTGGATTTCTCAATTTTGTTAGTTGTTTGGATTGATTGTTGGCCCAATTGATTGGGATCATCAAAGGGAGTTCAAAACTCAAATTTGAAGTGATTTGGAGCATATTTGAGCTAGATTTGAGTTGAATTTCAGAAGATGCCCAAAGAAGAAGAAGAACCCGTGAAGCTCCATTAATAGGATTCATTTGTATAATAGTGTATAATGGTGTATAAACACCTCTTTTACATTATTTTATACAAGGTTGATTGTGACGACCCGACCCGTCGTCTCATGTGTTACTGCTCCGTTTCCCTCATTTTATGTTTCTTCATGTTTCGTTATCGGTATGTGGTGTGTGAGAGTTGATTTAGATTGGCTTTGATAAGAAATGAGACACTTAGTCTCTTTAAGGAAGGCTTAAGTTGGAAAAGTCAACCGGATGTTGACTTATGAGTTATAGGGCTCGGATGTGATTTCCGGTGATTCGGTTAGCTTCGGGGGATGATTTGTGACTTAGGAGTGCGATCGGAATTTATTTTAGAGGTCCGGTGTAGAATTAGGCTTGAATTGGCGAAGTTAGTATTTTGGCGAATTTCGGTTGATAGGTGAGATTTTGATTCGAGGGTCGGAATGGAATTCCGAGAGTTGCTGTAGCTTCGATATGTGATTTGTGATGTGTGTGCAAAATTTCAAGTCATTCGGACGCCGTTTGGTCGGGTTTTTGATCGAATGCCTGTTTCGAAAGTTTTTAAAGAACTTAGACTTGAATCCGATAAGAATTGATGATTTTAGTGTTCTTAGATGTGTTTTGATGATTGGAACAAGTTTGGATAATGTTTTAAGACATGTACGTGCTTTTGGTTGGGGTCCCAGGGGCCTCGGGTGAGTTTCAGGGTGGTTTCGGACCATTTCTAGGCCATTTTTAACTGCTGGTTTTTGGCTACAGCAGTGTTCTATGCGATCGCGGGGAATTGGTCGCGATCGCGGTGAGTAAAACGTGAGAAATGTGCCAATGAATCGCGATCGCGGAAAGCCGTTCGCGATCGCAGAGAAGAAGTATCCTGTTGCATTGATCCCACTTCGGAAGCTTATATGTCACAATCTATAAGGAATTTGGAGATGATCCAAAAATGCAAATTGTAGCCCTTTGTGTCTAGTTTTCAGAAATATAAATTAATTGGAATTTGAAGTTGTGTACAAAAAGTTATGGTGGTTACACTATAGGCTGCCCGAAAAGGTCTCTAATACACAGGGTTAACTTTGAGAGCTTATATCTCGCAATGTATAAGGAGTCAGGAAATGAGCAACATATGAAATTATAGCTCTATGTGTCTAGTTTTCAGAACATCAAACCATTTATAATTTGGAGTTGTGTGCAAAGAGTTATGACCGTTATACTGGAGGCTGTCCGGAAGAGCTGGGAACTGTTCATTGCGATCGCGAAGCATTGACCGCGATCGCGAAGAGTAAATTTTGGGCTGGAAAAAAATTGTTCTCCGCGATCGCGAAGCATATTCCGCGATCGCGAAGAGTAAATACCTGGGCAGAATGTTTTAAAACACGTCAGTCGCGATTTTGAGGTTATTTTACACCCATAGTTGCTCGTTTTTGGAGATTTTTGGAGGAGATGAAAGAGGGATTCAAGAGGAATCGACTTGAGGTAAGAATCTTTGTCTTAAAACTCGATTATATTGTGAAATCCACCTAGAAATTCATGGAATTAAGCCTAAAATTGATGAGTTAGGGCTTGGAATTTTGAGAATTTGAATTGGGATTTGAGGGAGCATTTGGACTCCGATTTTGGTAAATTTGATATGTACGGACTCGTGGCGAGACGAGGAATTCGGTGATGTGAGTTTTGTAATTTTTCGAGAAGTGGGCCCGGGGCTCGGGTTTTACTAGTTTCGAGATTTTTGCTATATTTTGATTGTTTTCGATTGGGTATTGTTCCCTTGGCATAGTGTGATGTATTCGCTCTGATTTTGGTTAGATTCGACGCACGTGGAGGCCGATTAGAGGGGCAAAGGCGTCGCGGGCTAGAGATTTCGCCGGTTCGAGGTGAGTAATACTTGTAAATGATATCCTGAGGGTTTGAAACCCCGGATTTGCACATCATAGTGCTGTATTGTGGTGACTTGCACGCCAGGTATGAGCGTGGGGTAGAGCACCGTTGGGGATTGTGACTTGGTCCGTCCCGGTTGTTGATTTTACTGCGTAACTGACTGAAACCTACTTGATGCTATCGTGATTTGGGCTGATTGCCATGTTTTGGGCTTCGTGCCGATTATTTGAATCCTTTAGGGATTATTATCACTGTTTTCATGACACTTAGCATGTTAAATGACTTCAGTCCTGAGTTAATCACAGTTTTGAAATGTGCAGTCATATTGCTAAAGTTTAAAGACTTAAATTGCATTTTCTGATGTTTTGAGTTAAAAGCTATTACTTGACATTGCCCGAGTGGCTCATTTGCATTGATCTGGACTGAATATGGATCGGGCTGCACGCCGCAGCGATACTATGATGATATTGCGCTTGGGTTGTAGGAGCCCCTCCGGAGTCTGTACACACCCCCAGTGAGCGCGGGTACCCAAATGGATCGGGCTGCGCGCCGCAGCGGTCATATGCATTGCATTGCATTCATGCATTGGTTCCTGTTTGTACTACGTGTCATGACATTTAGCACACTCATATCATTGGCATCCATGCTACTTCTTGTACTGATTACCAGACGCCCTGGTATTAACTGTTTGTGGAGTGTTGTGCCCGAGGGGCTGACTTATGTGCGGACTTGCACCATCTGACTACGCATTCATTTGCTCGATTGTTGGAAAAAGATGTTTTCGAAAGAGGTTTTAAACTGAGTCAGATATTTTCTGAAGGATTTTCACGGTTTCATTGTTTTTCTGAGAGAGTTGTACTGTCCTATATAGCGTGATGGAGTGCTCTTACGTGATTTCTTGCCTCTCAGTTATTATTTACTCTTATTACCACCGAGTTGGAAGTACTCACTTTACTCCCTGCACCTCGTGTGCAGTTGCAGGTATTGTTCACCCGGTAGCGGGTTATTAGCTGATTGAAGGTAGGGCTATTGTAGCTGAGCAAGGTGACCGCCAGCGTTCGCGGCACCGGATGTTGTCTTTTGATTTTCCAGAATTTTTCTTTATATATTATTATTGGCCCTGTAGTTGTGTTCAGGTTTCTTTAGATGCTCGTGACTTGTGACACCCCGGTCGGGCTGTGTTGGGTTGTGGATATCGTTAATTAGTGTCATTTAGGCGTATTTTGCTATTCATTTATGTTTAATTATTTGAAAAAGGTTAATTGGGTTAGTTGGCTGGCCTTGTCTTCACGAGAGGCGCCATCACGACCAGGGTTGGAAATTGGGTCGTGACAAGTTGGTATCAGAGCCTAGGTTACTAGGTCTCACGAGTCATGAGCAGGTTTAGTAGAGTCTCGCGGATCGGTACGGAGACGTCTGTATTTATCCTCGAGAGGCTGCGGAACCTTTAGGAAAACTTCCCATTCTTGGAATTCTTATCGTGCGTACTTGATTCAGCTTGAGATATAGCTTTTGAAATTTCTTCCACACGTCTGTATGCGCACGTGAGCGCTCAGTGTTATATGTGATGGCTTGTGATTCCCCGATCGAGGGGCGAGAGGTAATCTGTGTGAGTATGGTGGGCTAGTCTGGAGGACTTGAGGCCGGATCTTTGCCTATGGCTTGAGCACTGAGGTGCTGATTTTGTGAGCAAGTGTTTTCAACTTATATGTTCGGTATTATCCCTATTAGCCGGAATGGCGGTTGGATATCCATGTGATGAGTATGTTAGTACTGTGAGATGTGTCTATATGACTTGGTAATGATGAAGAAGTCTGCAGGATAATAGATGGACTGTCAAGTGATTCGATTCCTATTGTGGCTTGATGTGTAGCCCGAATTATGGGCGCGTGAAGGATATTTTTGTGTCTCCTAGTTGGAAAGTAAAGTGCAATACATGTGGCGGTATGAGTTCAGACTCAGGAAGACTAAATTGACTGTGTAACGTATATGATGGTGAAAGGTGTGCTGAAATACTAAATTGAGGCGAAGCAAGTGGGTTATCTCCTGCGGAGTGTTCTTAAGTGGAAAGATCTGTACATGTATGTTAGAAGATCTCATGTGTAATTGAAGGGTATGTATTGAAATCTGAGAATTCGGGTCGCTTAAGAGAGTGGACTCAACTAATGTAGAGGTGAATGCGAGAGGTGTAGAGGATTACGGTACTAGATGATCTGTGTTTTCACAAACTCGTAAATGAGTTGAGTTTAATCTCACTATGATATTGTGGCATCATTAGAGTAAAAGTATTATGGGTTATTAAGTGTGCCCTGATATATGGCTTTGAGCCAAGTTGGGGAGGTTGCTGTTGATTAGCTGATTGCACGGTTATGTGCTATGTTGGTTACGTCTCGAGGTATGCTGGCGAATCGGTTCTAGTTGCAGAAATTGAGCCGAGGATGGGCGAGTGAAGCAAAATTTCGACAAAGGTTATATTATGTTCCATAGGGTATGA